AGATGTGCCTTATCCTCCACCCACTCTTAGCAGCTGGTGGGACAGGCTGCTCATAGGCTTCGAAGCTTTGACAGGGGTAAGTCACCCACCTAGTAAGAGGCAGTGATGGGAACCTGACTTCAAGTCCAGAGCTCTCTCTCCAAAAGCATCATCACCTGAGATGTCACCAGGACATACACTCACACAGGTAGGCACAGCCTGGGTAGCAGGGTGACAGGACCACAGCATGAAAGGGGCCATGCCCGAGCTCCCCTGCCCCCCAGCATCGAGCCTCTCCCCCGGTGCTCTGCCCAGGAGCCCCTGTTGGGCTCATTTGCTCACGTCCTTAATTGGGCAGCAAGCACTTTAAGCTCTTACTCATACCATCTCATATCTCACAATGAAACAGGCTCAGAGAGGTAAATAACATGCCCGAGGTCACACAGCAAAAGTGGCAACTAAAGTCCGCCCTCGTCCCATTCATTGCTGGCTCTGTGTGTTGGTTCTATTCACCAGGCACTCTGAATTGTCCACACTGCTGCCAGAGGTGCTGGTGGCTAGCCAGCATCCTCATGTCATGTTTGTTTCAACACCAGGTCCACAGGTAGCCTGGAGAACACAGAGATGAATTCAGGGAGGTCCCTGTCTTGGGGGGCTCCCTGTCTGGAGAGGAAGCTAGATAGGAGAACAGCTGGTTACCACAATGTATGAGCTTTCTTGGGGTGGCCACAACAAACTGACACAAATTGAGTGGCTTAAAACAATATAAATGCATTCTCTTATTGTTCTGGGGGCAGAAGTCTGAAATTAAGTTGTTGACAGTGTCAGTTTCTTCTGCTGAGGCTCTGAGGGAGAATCCACCCCAGGCCTCTCTCCCAGCTTCCAGTGGCCAAGAAATCTTCAATGTCCCTCGGTTGTAGATACATTGTTCTAATCTCTGCCCCCATCTTCTCATGGCTGCCTTCTCTGTGCTTATGTCTGTGTCCTTTTTCTTATAAGGACACTTATCATTAGATGTAGGGCCCATCCTAACCCAGGATGATCTCAAGACCTTTAATTACATCTGCAAAAACTCTCTTCTCAAATAAGATCACAGTCACAGGGACCAGGGGTTGGGACTTAGACATCTTTTTTCTGGAGATGCATTCTACCCATTACCCATGGTGACCAAAAAAAGTCCACAGGAGACTGGGCCGAGGAGAAAGTGTGGACAATCCTGCAGGAGCAGAGAGACAATCCCAGAAGTTTCTCTGAGGAACTGCAAGAGATATTTCCACTCGTTTGCTTGTCTGTGCACTGGTGAATGTTCACTGAACGCCTACTGTGTGCTGGGCTGGGCTTGAAAAGCACAATGGATCCAATATAGAACTGGTTCCCCCTCTCCCCATCGTTCACACACTACTTGTTGGAGAGTCAGAAAAAAAGCAAAGGGGTGGATAAATATAATGACCAGTGGCAAAAAGTGCTGTAGAACAAACAGTAAACAAGGGGGAGGTGTGAAGAAAGGAACAATACAGCCTGGGAAGGGACTGGTATGGGTGGGGCTGGGGGGAGCCTGGAAAGCCCACACTTATGCTGAAATGCACAGAAGATGAGCTGAAGACAGCTTTTTCAGCAAATAGTCCTGAAACCATCAGGTATCCACAAGCAGAAACAACAAAAGAGTTAACTAAAAATGAAGCATTCGCTTAAATGTAAACTATTGATCTTCTAGTTGATAACACATGGTAAAATGGAGATGATCTTGGGTTTGGCGATGACTTTTTACATACAGGGAGAAAATCTTTGCAAAACACCTATCGGGTAAACAACTGGTGTCCAAAATACACAAAGAACTCTTAAAACTCAAAAAGAAAACAAACAACCCAATTAAAACCTGGGCCAAAGATCTGAACAGATACCTCACCAAAGAAGATACCAAGATGTCAAATAAGCATATGAAAAGATGCTCCACATCAGATGTCATCAGGAACTGCAAATTAAAATAGCAATGAGACACCACCACATACCTATTAGAATGACTAAAATATGAAAAACTGACAATACCAAATGCTGATGAGAATGTGGAGCAACAGGAACTCTCATTTATTCATTGCTCGTAGGAATGCAAATGGTACAGCTACTTTGGAAGACAGTTTGGCGGTCTCTTACACACCTAAACATGGCCTTACCTTACAATCCATCAATTGCATTCCTAGGTATTTACCCAATTATTTTGAAAACTTATGTCCCGGCAAAAACCTGCACATGAATGTTTATAGCAGCCACATTCTCTATATATTCAATAAAGCAACTATATTGCCTCAAACTGGAAGGAACCAAGAAGTCCTTCAGTGGGTGAATGGATAAACTGTGGTACATCCAGACCGTAGAATCTTATTCAGCAATAAAGAGAAATGAACTATCAAGCCACAAAAAGACACGGAGGAATCTTAAGTGGGTATTACTAAGTGCAAGAAGCCAGTCTGAAAAGGCTACATCCTGCATGAGTCCAACTATACAACATTCTGGAAAAAGCAAAACTGTAGAAGCCAAACAGGGGTTGTTAGGGAGGAGAGGGACGGAGAGGTGGAGCACGTGGGACTCTTAGGACAGTGAACGGATTCTATATGATAGTATAACCATATATAAACGCTGTGGAAGTTCTAATGTCATCCCGTGAGCTCTCTTTAAGTGCTTTTCAAAGCCCATATGTCAAAGCCCATAAAGCATACAACGGCAAGAATGAACCCTAAACTGTGGACTTTAGTTAATAATAATGTATCGATAGTGGCTCTTTGTAACATTTGTACGACACTAATGCAAGATGCTACTAATAGGGGAGACTGTGTATGGGAGGATATAGGGTAACTCTCTGTACTATCTGCTAATTTTTCTGTAAACCTAACTCTGCTCTAAAAAAAATGAAGTTCATTAGTTAAGGAGAAGGGTGGAGATGAGCGGGAACCGAGCAAGTAGAAAGTGAAAGGAAGGAACACTCAGTGGAGAGCATGGCAGGTACGAAGGACTGGAGAGGGGAAAGTGCTTGGCGTGCTCCAGGACCCACAAGGAAGGGAGAGGGGTGAGCTGGAGAGAGCTGCAGGAGCTGTTGGAGGCCCAGTGGAGGACAGAGGCCTGTAACCGCCTGAGAATCATACATCTCAGGGAATAGATTAGATTCTTTAAATCTTTCCCTTGTTATCATATGGGGGAAACTGAGGACCAGAGAAAGGCAATGAGAAAAGCACTTAAAGAGAGCTCACGGGATGACATTAGAACTTCCACAAAAAAGAAAGAGCCCGCGTGAACCTCGCAATATCCCTTTGGAGTAAGGTACTATCATCGTCTACACTTCACAGATGAAGAAGTGAGCACAGAGAGGCAAAGCCACTTGCTTCGGGTCACGCAGTGAGGAGTCAGTGGACAAAGCTGACTCAACTATCACAGGAGCAGCTGCAGGGAACATATCTGAGCTCAACTTCAAGCCTAGGAAAGCTGCTCGGGGAGGCCCTGCCCGCTCCAGCAACTGCACTGGGCACTGAAGTACCTCTGGGTCTCCACCGCCTGGCAAATAGGGCTTATCAGTGAGTGTTTGTTGAATCCACAGTCGGATGAATCACAGTGAGGTAGCATACCTCTGAGGCTCTTTCCAGCTGGGAGGGTCTAGGATTGTGGACCCAAAAGGGGTTCCTTGGCACCTATGTCATGCCAAGGCCACCTCCTGCAGCTGCCCTGGTCTGTGGCACTCCAGCTGCTGTCAGTGGCAAAGCCCTTCTGGTTCCCAGGGAAGGCTTCCAGGGCAGGAGCTGCCTGCACCCCTCGCCACCTGGCCAGGGGACTCAGGCTGACTCTGGATGCCTCCATGCCCAGAACTTGGGCTCTGGGGTCAAGAGGCCAAGGCTGGATGCTGGCTCCAGGTCACACCATCAGATACTCCCCTTCTAACACCCACTTGGCTCCCCTTTTCTCCAGGTCTTGATTCACTCAACTCCTCCTTGGTGAGGTTCTAAATTTCACCATCCTCTCTCTCCTCCCTCACACACACTCACTTTCTACCCCTCTCCCCCGCTTTATTTTTCCAAAAGGCCCCTATCTCCAACACGTTTATTTTATATTCCCCTCCCACTAGAGTAGAAGCCCCAAGGGCAGGGGAGTTTATCTGCCTGTTGGTCGTTCTGTTCCCAGTGCCCATAAAATGACAATGGGAGTGACAGTCCCTTGCTGGCAGGGCTACAGTATAGGGGACCCAGGTGGTATGTTTAAGATGCCCACCCGAGGGGCTTGTTCCCTTTGCCCCCACCCACCCACCCGGTGCTGGGTCTGTGTTGGAGGAGAGATTGTCATCTTGTCTAGATTCTCCAGCCATGCAAGTCAGTAAAGTCACCAGGCTTGCCGGCCGCCAAGACCTCACGCCTCTCCCAGGAGCCCCGGGCCTCAGTTTCCTTAGTCTAAAGGATTTCCTCGAGGGACAGAGTCTCAAAGACTGAACATTTCTTGATGTCCTCATGCAAAGTTTTTTCAAGCTGTAACAGTGGGTCAGGCTAGATGGGCCCCAAGAAAATGAGGGGCTGAGTCTCTCCACCCATCATCAGTCCTGAGAATCTCAATCTCCCCATCCATGAGGGTTCCCAAGGAACCCTACTCTGAGGTTGTGGGACCCAGTCACCCCATACATCTGGGATTCTGGGGGCCGCTCTGAAGCGTTGGGGCCCATTCTCCCCATCCATCAGGGATCCCGGGAGGCCACGGGGCCCAGCGTTCCACTGAGTCCCGGATGCCACCCCCGCTCCAGGTCTTCCCCGTCGGCGCGCAGGCGGGAGCCCACGGGGCACCCCGGGGATCCCTGGGCGTCCCGCCGCTGTTGTGCAGCGCGTGTTGATACCGTCGCCAGGGAGACGCGCGGGGGCGGACCCGGCAGCGCGCAAGGGGCGGGC